TTTTTAAGATTTATTTATTCTTATTGCAAAGTCAGATACACAGAGAAGAGGAAAGACAGTGAGGAAGGTCTTCCATCCAATGATTCAATCCCCAAGTGACCACAATGGCCAGTACTGTGCCAATCCAAAGCCAGGAGCTAGGAACTTCCTCCGGGTCTCCCATGTGGATGCAGGGTCCCAAGGCTTTGGGCAATCCCTGACTGCTTTCTGAGGCTACAAGCAGGGAGCAGGATGGGAAGTGGAGCTGCTGGGATTAGAACTGGCACCCATATGGGATCCCGACATGTTCAAGGCAAGTACTTTAGTCACTAGGCCTTCACGCTGGGCCCTGGTGAGGATTTCTAAGCTTTTTTTTTTTTTTTTTTTTTATTCATTCAACATATTTTACCAATGTATCTTAATGGAACTGATAGCATATAAAAATAAATAGTCTAGTCACTAGTAAAAGAATTAATGAAATAACAACTACATTTGGTAGAGTTTCGTTAACTCGATAAATATGATCTTTCCTTCACAGTGCTCCCCTCCATTGTGAGGGCAAGGAGTCACCTGGAACTAAGACTGAAAAATCCACAATAAAACTGAAAAATAATAATGGCCATATTGATGGTTGAGTAGTTGCAGTTGTCACTACACAGCCCTACAAGCACCAGTAACAAACAGTCCATTTCCATATCATCTGAAGAAACACCTATTTCAGATTCAGAACGAACCATGCTAAGAAATGAGCTCTACATGTACCAGTCCCCTTCCAACATTTTTGCCCTTTGTCCTTAAGGGCAGCACTGGAAAGGCGTTACATTCCAGCCACTTCTTTGACAAGTTTTGTCATTTGTGACACTTCGGTCACGAAGCCAGTTTTTGAAACAGGTGTAGGATTTCTAAGCTTCTGTCATTGCCATTGCACATTGCCGTCTCCCAGTGTGCTCTATTTCCTCTCAGTCAGACTCTCCCCACCCAGACCCTTCTTTCCTTCTTTCTCTCTCTCTTTCTTTCTCTCTCTCTCTCTTCCTTCCTTCTTTCTTTCTTTCTTTCTTTCTTTCTTTCTTTCTTTCTTTCTTTCTTTCTTTCTTTCTTTCTTTCTTTCTTTCTTTCTCTCTCTCTCTTTCTTTCTTTCTTTCTTTCTCAAACAGATTTCTTCTTTGAAAGGTAGAGTAACAGAAACAGAGAGGAGGGAGGGAAGGAGAGAGACAGAGTGAGACAGAGATCCTCCATCTGCTGCTTCACTCCCCAGATGGCCACAGTAGCCAGGTCTGGGCCAGGTGAAGCCATGAACGAGGCATTCCATTCAGGTTTCTCATGTGGCCTGGAATTTGGAACATCTGCTGCTGCTTTCATGGGAGCACGAGCAAGAAGCTGGGTCAGATCAGAGTTGCTGGACCAGAGCTGGCTGCTCCTATAAGCGACACCTTGCTGTGTCACAATGCTGACCCCTCAATCTGTTATTTATGTCTTTATCTCAGATTTTCAGGAAAAAAATAATACAGCATGAACTCTTATTCCCTTAGCAGACATTTTGGGAGTTGTTGAATGTTGAGCACCCGTGGCAGCCATCATTTGTTTTTATTGAATAGTGTTTTCTTGTAAGGATAAGTTACATCGAAAATATGTTCACCTTCTGATGGCATTTGGCTTGTTATGAATAAACTTACTGTGAACGTCCATGAACGAGTTTGTGTGTGGGCATTTGATTTGATTTATTTGCCTTTCCCCATTTGTCAAAATTTCCCTATTTATTGGAAAATCAGAGTATCTGAGAGAGAGAGAGGCTGAGACACAGAGAGCGATCTTCAACCTCTCAATATGCTAATTTACTCCACAGATGGCTGTGATGGCTAAGGGTTGACCATGCTAAAGCCAGGAGCCAGGAGCTTCATCCAAGCCTCCCACGTGGATGGCAGGGGCCCAAATACTTGGGTCATCTTCCACTGATTTTCCCAGGGCATTAGCATGGAGCTGGGTCAGAAGTGGAGCAAAAAGAGCTCGAACAGCCTCTCATACAAATGCCAGCATTTCAGGCAGTGGCTTAGCTCACTGTGCCACAATGTCAGCCACAGTTTTCACTTATTTTGAAGAAATAACCTAGGCATTGGATGTCTGTGAAAAACTGTAAGTGAATATTTAGGTTCATAAAAAGCAACCAAGCTATTTTCCAGAGTGGCTTTATATTTTGTATTTCAACCAAAATGTCTGAGAGCTCCAATTGCTCTGTTGTTTTTGTTATCAATCTTTTTATTTTTAGCCATTCTAGCAGGTGTTACCTTATAGTATTTTCATTACTTGGTTTCCTTAAAAAAAATTGTATTGGTAGTGTCTTTTTTTGGAAAGAATCTGAGATTTGGGTCTGCTGTTGTTCAGGGTCAGGCTGGAAACTGCATCTTTAACATTCTGGCCAAGCCAGAAGCCAGAGCAGGAGTGTGACAGTGGGAGGCACCTGTTGGGAGGCTGGTGGAGCTTCATCGAGTGCTTGTGATTCAGAGCAGCTGATTCCTCTTGTTGTCCATGATCATGCCTCTTGCATGTACCAGTGGATGTAGCAATTTCTTTGAATGCCTGACATGGGGTTGCCCTTCTTTGCAATCCAGAGGTCCTCATTATTCCACCAGTAGGTACTCATTGTGCACCTCTGGTGTATCAAACAGCTCTGGGTCCTGTGTGTTACACATCAGCAATTAGACCACATCCTTGTCCTCTGGTGCCTCTCCAATGCTGACTGGTGATAAGGGCCACCAAGCAGAATAACACAGGGTTGGGGACTAGGGGAGAGTTGTTTGGGGCAATGACATTCCAGTATAGCTAATCGGGCTGTGTGTGTGTGTGTGATTTTTCTCTGATGAGAGAGTCTAGGAGGGGGCCACCTTCCCTTGGAATTCCATTGCTGGTGAAGCTGAGGAATAAGAGCTTTATCCATGACAGAGCTTTCGAAAATCCTCCCTCCCCACTGCTGGGGAGGTACAACTCCAAGACTGGCATTCCCTCATTCTAATCTTTCAGTTGGAACCACCAAAGCCTGTGGATTGTGTCTCTTCAAAATTTTGCAGATTACTCCAGTTCCAGTGTGTTGTCCAGTTCAGGTTATTACCAGCAAGCTTTTGCATCATTGTCCAAGGCCCCAGCAGCCTTTGTGCCTTCAGACTTGCCCTCTACCTAGCTTCCCTGGAGCCAGGGAGCAAGGGGGATCTTACTCAAGGGAAAACCTGATCTGTCTTGCTATTCCTCCCTATGTTTGGAAATAAAGCCCAACTTCTCAATCATGGGTCTCAAGGCCTTTTGTGGTCAAGCACCCCCTTCAGTTTCTTCTTGTCCCCATGTGCTTTTTGTCCTGGCTAAGTATTTTGCTCCCCCAAAGCACCCTGCCCTTGTCGCTGGTTCCCACAGTTCATCCTTTTCTTGCCCTCATCACCTCTCTTAATCTTTCCTCCTTGAGTGTTGTGCAGTGGCATCATGTTGCTTGGGAAGGTCCCCTCTAAGATCCACGAAATCCCATTGGTTCCTCTTGGGTGCCCTCAGAGCACCCCATCATCTCTCTGCTGCAGTACTCGCTGGTTTACTAGAATCATCCAGGAGTGTGTCTGTCTCTTTTCTGGACTTGAGCTCCTTGTGGACAGAACTGCAAGTCTTTACATACTCCTCACCAAGAACTCCGTGTTGACTGAGCTGCATGGATGAACAAAAGAGAAACTGAGCAAGTGAGTGAGCACAACAAGCAACACGTGCAGCAAGGTGGGGAGCAAAAGCACAGTGTCTCTGCTTTTCCAAGGGAGCCTGTCTCTTGCATAGGTGATGAAAGAACGTAGCTGAGGCATGCTAGCCCCTTTGCTGAGCAAAGATGTGGGGCTGTGTGATTTAGAAACCAAGGGCTCATTTTTTTCATGCCATTTCTAACAATGACAAAGCTGGTTTTCTTGTTCATCACATCTTTAGTATATGGCTGGTGAAGCGAGCATCAGCACGTCTTTGAAAGACAACCTTAAGTAACACTTGTCTTTTCACCCTTTTGGTTGTGAAAGCCTCTTTATTTTAGGGGCATTCATAGCCTCAAATGTAAGAACTCCTGGATGTGTGGATATGGGTGGAAGGAAGTGGAGAGGCTGGGCCAAGCACTTTCCAGGGACAGGGGGAGCAGAGTGTCTACGGCAGAGCTGTCCACAGAGCAAAAGGGCAGTAACACAGGCTAAGACGATGATGTGTGGCTTTGACTAAGCATCCTGAGAAGGGTCAGTTTAGACTACCAGTGGGGAGAAGGGACAGTGGCCTTGGATGATGATGGGGTGGGTTTCTGTGACCTTCAGCAAGTGTTGCAAATTTTCCAATTCCTCATTCCTAGTTTTTTTTTTTTTTCCTTTACCTGCACTGGGGAAAAACAATCTCTGACTCATGGGATTGCTGATCATTTCAAATCAGGTTATTGTTGTGGATGGCATTTACATCCAGCCTCAGTATCCCCTCCTCACTGAGTTCATTACTGCTTTCCAGGAGTTCCTGCATGGCTTTGTGGCATTACCATCACACTCCTGTGTTGCTGAGCTTACCTGCATGCTTGTCTGCCTCCCACAAGAGTGAGACCTGTGAGATGAGTTCAGAAGACTTCTTCTTGCAAGCATCTCCTGTGCTTGACCTAGGGTCTGGGATATAAGACTGGAAGGTAGATAAATGACAAGTTATGTTCTTTCCTTGTTCATGATGCTAGGAAACAGGGCTCACCCAGCTAGGAAGTGATGATGCTTATTCCAACACTACCTGTAGTTCCGAAAAGTCCAAATTTAGCAAGCCACTCAACAAACAGCTTCTTAATGGGTAGCTAAACAGCCTCCAGATCAACAAACACTGGTGTAATAAGATGTTCCTCTGCAAAGTAGCCCAAGCAGCCATGAGGAAAAGATGCAGGGACCCAAACAGCACGTGCTGGGGATGGGGGTATAAAGGTGAGGGCCCCGGAGAGCTGTCACAGTCAGCCCGCCACCTCTCCGTGCTCACAAGGAAGAAGAGCCAGTTCCACCATGCCTGGCAGCTGCTGTTCTAGGAAGTGTCCCTCCGTGCCAGCCATCTCTCTCTGCTCCACCGAGGTGAGCTGTGGGGGACCCATCTGCTTGCCCAGCTCCTGCCAGAGCCAGACATGGCAGCTGGTGACTTGTGAAGACAACTGTGGGTCATCCAGCTGTGATTCCCAGTGCGGTCAGCCTTCCTGCTCCATGAGTAGCAGCTGTGCCCAGCCTGTGTGCTGTGAGGCCACCCTTTGCCAGCCTGCCTGCTCCGAGAACAGCTGCTGCCAGCCCATGTGCTGTGAGGCCACCCTTTGCGAGCCTGCTTGCTCCGTGAGCAGCTGCTGCCAGCCTGTGTGCTGTGAAGCCACTTCCTGCCAACCAGTCCTCTGTGTGCCTACTTCCTGCCAGCCCATCCTTTGCAAGCCCAGTTGCTGCCAGCCCCTCATCTGTGAGCCCAGCTGCTGTCCAACTCTCTGCACCGTGTCAAGTTCCTGCCAACCGTTGCTCTGTGAGCCTGCTTGCTGCCAGCCAGTGTGCCCAACTCCCAGCTGCTGCCCATCTGTCTGTTCTCAGGGCAGCAGCTGCCAGCCTGTCTGCTGTGATCCCAGTCCTTGTGAGCCACCTTGCTCAGAGCCCAGCGTCTGTCAACCAGCCACCTGTGTGGCCCTGGTCTGTGAGCCTGTTTGTCTCCGCCCCGTCTGCTGTGTTCCCAGCCCTTGTGAGCCTCCTTGTGCCTCTAGCACTTGCCAAGAGCCCCCGTGTTGTGTCACCAGCATCTGCCAACCCGTCTGCCCTGAGCCCAGTCCCTGCTCACCTTGTGTCTGTGTGCCTAGTCCTTGCCAACCCACCTGCTACGTAGTCAAGCGCTGTCATTCTGTCTGCTGTGAGCCGGTTTCCTGCCCCTCTTCCTCCTGCCAACCTCTGTGTGGCCGTCCGGGATCCTCTGCCTCTGCCACTTGCCAACCAACCTGCGCTCGAACCTTCTACATACCCAGCTCTTGCAAGCAGCCTTGTGGCACTTCCTTTGCTTACCGCCCTATTTGCCGCCCCATCTGCCGCCCCATCTGCTCTGGACCCTTTGCTTACAGACAGCCCTACCTGACATCTATTTCCTACCGTCCTGCCTGCTACCGCCCCTGCTACTCCATCCTGCGACGCCCCGCCTGCTTCACTTCCTACTCCTACCGCCCTGTCTGCTCTCGCCAGCCGTGCACCGACTCCGACTCCTGTAAGCGAGATTGCAAGAAGTCCACCTCCAGCCAACCCGACTGCGCTGACTCAACCCCCTGCAAGACTGAAGTCTCTGAAGAGAGTCCTTGCCAGCCCACGGAGGCCAAACCCACCACCCCAAACACCCGTGAGGCTGCAGCCCCTCAGCCTGCTGCCAGCAAGCCTGCTGCCGGAAAGCCTGCCAATCGCTGAGCTGGCTCCTGCCCAGCAACTGCTGCAAAGCCAGCCCCTAGCTAGCTCACAACGACTTAGCACGAATCTGTTTCTCTCTGCATGATCACTTATTATTTGCTTATGCCTCAGAGCACTCTTTGGAAATATCGATGTCCCAATGGTTCAGTGAAGGCTTCCGGGGTCTTAGTTGAGAGTGGAAGTATTAGGGATTCTTTACTTCTGCTGCTATTAAGCTGAGAAGAGCTACTTGGTCACACGATCAGGCTCTTTCCTGTCATCTGACACTTCCTGTCCTAATATACCTGCTCTGTTGTGGGTTGTGCTTGTATGCCTTGGGGACTTTCTCAGCGAGATATATTTGACTCTAATAAAAGTGGCTAAGTTGAAGTTACATGGTGTTTTCATGTCTTCTCTTTAATGCCACCATCTTATCAGTTACTATGTTTTTGAGAGTAACTCCATCCATGCATCCATCTGGCATTATTAGATAGTTGTTAGGTGCTAGTAATGAAAAGGTGAAGTTCTCCATCCCTGCTCAGACGGGGAATGAATCGATATAGGGCACTATGACCTCAGCAAGGTAAAGTGGGGGAGCAACCAGGGGAGAATGTGATGCTGGAGTTGAATCTCTCAAGAGAAGAAGAAATTAAACAGTCACACACAGAGGAGGAGGAGTTTCCTAGGCAGAGAATACAAATGAATGGGTTTGTCAGCAAACTGTTCATTAGGTGAGGCTGGGCAGAGGTGTCCTCAGAGCAGGTGAGCTCTTAGGTTAGGTGACAGAGAACTGTCCATACTTGGCTCTGCATGCCAGGCAAGTAATTAAGTTAGGAGTAAGGCCAACATGAAGAGCATTGGGTTATGAATGTCCTTTGGCCATGGTGTAGGCAAATCAATAGAAGATCACGGATCATGGTTCTGAGCGTAGGAAGAAAGGGAAAGCCAATGATATTGAGATCCTCAGTGGAATGAAAAACCACAAGTGGAGTCATATTTATAGTAAGGAAGTTAAGGTAACTCTGGATTTCTCAAGTGAGAACTTTCCCTATGTTCCCCTCTTCACCATGAGACACTCTTGCCACAAGCTCAGTTAGTTAATGTCTTTTTGAAAAATCTGTTCTTCAAAGCAGTCACCCCTTACATTTAGTGCACAGAATGAAGGGCTATTCCTTATCCTTAAGATGCAGTTTGGACAGTCACAAGCATGGCAGGTAATAGACCAAGGTTTTTCTACTCTGGTATTCCTGACTTTGGGGGTTGGCTAATTCCTTGTCATGGAGGTTTTCCTATGGCTTATGCATGGCCTCTGCCAAGTGGATTAAAAAACCACCTGTTTGAGAACCACTGAACTACACAGCAGTAGAAGAAAAAAGTTAAAAGTGAAGTTTAGTCTTTACATTGGTGTTGGAGCTACTATTTCCCCATAATGTTGAGATTGAAAGTCAAGGGAAGAGTTTGTCAGGGTTTTAAGACACTGGGCCAAATACTGGACTTAATGTTTCGTGTCAATCAAAATGACCCTGGGAGGTAAGATTTGTTATCTCCTATTTTCTCCCTGTCTGTAAGATGAAGAATTGGAAGGACTAACAATCCAAGTGCTCATGAATAGTTGAGTTAGTCATGGTAATTCACACAGGGGAATATTATACAGAAGTGAGAAAGACCAGGCACGGCTATGTGTGACAACATGGGTGAGCCTTACAAACTACATTTATGAGTATAAACAAGCCCTAGTACACCACACACGAGGAAATCTTCAAAAACTTCAAGGACAATGTGTGTTATGAAAAACTTTGCATGGATTTCAAAAAGGTTTCTGAACTAATATAAATTCATCTTTTCATTTCATTTCCATGAATTTTTGAAATATCTTTATATCCATACATATACATATATTCGTGTGTGCATGTGTGTATGAATTGATAAACAGAATATTCTGTATAGTTATACTTAGCAATACATAATGGCTAAAGCCCATTTCTGTTCAACATCTATGCATTTTATAGATCATTATATTCTTTGTGTTGTTGTTGTTAAGTATTTATTTGAAAGATAAAGTGGCAAAGAAAATGAGAGAGAAAGGCCAAGAAAGGAAGAGAGATCTTCCATCCACTGATTGACTCTCCAGATGCCTGCAATAGTCAGGGCTGGGCCAAGCCAAAGTCAGGGACCAGGAATACTGTCTTCATCTCCCACATGGGTGACAGGGATTAAGAATGTGAGCCATTATCAGATGCCCTCCCAGGAGGGGGAGGATGAGGCTACATCTGAAATGGAAAAACTGGGACTCGACTAAGCATTCTGGCGGCTTAATACACTGGACCGCAAAGCCTATCCCAGGATAGTCCTATTCTCCTGTAATTGCTGGATGTCTTTGGTGTCTTAAACTATTACAAGATGGATGCTATCTCTAAGGGAAAATTTCTTGAGGAGGAATAGGGACAAGAGCAGAACCATTTAGAGGAAAAAAAAATGATGTGAAAATGGATTGCTTAGAAATGGTAGAAGTGTTACTAGCACCTTTCCTATATTGCAGTTGGTGCAATTTCTCACTCATGGCCCCATTTTGACCCACTTGGTAAAACAAAAAGTGATTCCTTCTGGAAGGTGAAGAGTGTTCAGGAATGAAGCTCAGGACAGGGATTCCTAGGGTCTGAAAGATGCCAGCAGGAGGGGAGGCAAGAAGGAGAGCAGAATGTGACATAGAAATGGTGTGAAGGGTGTTTCAATGACAAGGATGAAGGTTTTCCAGGCTCCAGTCTCTTCAGCAAAATTTTTCTTCTTTTTAAATGGAAGGCAGGATTTCAGTGTAGCAGTGAAGCTGCCTCATGGATGCCTGCATCTCATTTCTGAGTGCCCCGGTTCTAGTTCGACCTCTGCTATCCATTCCAACTTGTTGCGAGTTGGCATTCTAGGAGGTAGCAGGTGATGGTTTGAGGACTTGGGACCCTGCCGCCCTTGTATAAGACTGGACTGGGACTGAACCCTGAGTTCCTAGATTCAGCCTTTGAAACACTAGCTATGTTGGGCATTTGGAGAGAGAAACAGCAGATAGGAGATGTGTGTATCTCTCTTTCTTTCTCTGTGTTTCCATCTGACTTTTTCTGTGTCTTTCTGCCTTTTGAACAAATAAAGAAAATATTTGAAAAAAGGAGAAGGAGAAAGGTGCCAAAGAGAAAGCATTTTATAACTGTGCTTTGCAAGGGACTTTCGAGAACTTTCAGCATTTCCTACAATTTGTCAAGTCCAGCAAAGAAAACAATTACTGAAGCCACAGTAGCGTGGTTGATGAACTCTAGGTCAGTTGGAGACTCAGGGAATTAGCATGTCCAACATAAGTGATGTGGGAATAGAGCCAGAAATCAAGCTCAGCAGGGCTGGCCTCCCAAACCAGGATTTTTTTCATTTTATGCCTCCTACTTGAACTGGGTTGGAACATGGAGTAGTGCGGATTGCAGTGTTGAATGTGGTTGGTGAAAGGGGCTAGGGACACAGCCAGAAGAAAAGAAGGGTCAGGAAAGCCCCTTAAGAATTCTTTCTGAAAAGGGTTGAGTGAACTCAAAGATCACTTTGCAGGAGCAAAGTGGTCGTGGTGGTCTTACAGATTGCATTAGCTCTTGGGTTCCCTAGTAAGAATTTAATCCTTCTTGATGAAGTATTTTTCAGTTTTAAAAACTCACAAGTGGAAAGATTGCCTTTGGATCTGTGCATGAATGGGGTAAGTGTTCACATCAGTTTGATCACTGGCATTGGCAGATGAACCCACTGTGGTTCCTGGGGGGAGCTACTCATGAGTCAGCTGCTGCGGTGCAAACGTCCACCTCCTAACCCTACATTGGAGTTCTCCTTCCCCCATCACCCCAAAGTCAGGAGATCCAGCAGTGTGGCAGCCAGCTGATGATGAGTCTGAATCTTATCTCTACTTACTCTTCCTTGCAGAATTTGGGGAGCATGATCTAAACTCTGAGTTACTTTTGCTGCTTCTGGTATAGGGATGGCAATTATATGAGGATATTTCTGAGTTTGTGGAAAAATAGAATTAAAAATTAAGCCTATTTGATGCCACAAATTTTGTGATATATGCATGTAAGAAGCATTAAAAAAAGTTCATGAAAAATGCATAGTATGAAAAAACTGTTAAATCAATTTCAATTGGCCTGAGGCAATAACCTAGTGGCTAAATCCTGCCTTGCCTGAGCCTGGATTCCATATGGGCTCCAGTTTGTGTTCTGGCTGCTCCACTTTCCATTCAGTTCCCTGCTGGTGGCCTGGGAAACAGTAGAGGATGACCCAAAGCATTGGGACCCTGTGCACGCACGTGGGAGACCCAGAGGCTCCTGGCTCCTGGCTTTGGATTGGCTCAGCTCTGGCCTTTGTGTCCACTTGGGAAGTGAACCAGCAGATGGAAGATCTTTCTCTCTGTTTCTCCTTCACTCTGTAAATCGACCTTTCCAATAACAATTTAAAAATAAATGTAAAAAAAGATATAAAAATTCACCCTTTAATTCCGTTTACCCACAGATTCGTTGAAGTGTCTTTACTATGGTCATTGAAAAGATGCAATGAAGAATGCTGCTGTGGGTTTGGTATGTTTTAACTATGCAATAAACAGAAGCCATTACTACTCTAAGTGGTAGTGGGACTAGTCAAATTCCAGGAAAGTCAGATGAGAAAGTTCTAGAAAGAGGTGCTGATATTGACACGTCCTTTAGCTCCACAGCCTAATTTCCTGCTCCCCTTCTCTGGCGCTCTCTGCCCCAGATGGGGTCAGCACTTCGTTTCCTGATCATTTGAGTTGGGTAGAGAGGGTCTCCTGGAGGAAAAGCAGGTGCTGGGCTGAGTGAAGGCCTCCTGATGAGAGGGTAGCTTGGGCAGTACCTGCTTCAGCAGAGCTAGGGAACAACCTGTAAAAGAAACAGCCCATTCCAGAGCAGCATCAGTGAACCTCAGTTCAGCCAACAAAGCTCTGCACTCAACAGACACACTAATTTTTCTTTTTAAATGAGGACATCTCTCAT